GCTCTCCACTGCTGACTGCTCAGTGCTAGTGGATAAGATAACAAAAAGGATTAGAACATGGCAAGCAAAAAAGCTTAGATATGCAAGTAGATTACAGTTAGTTTCATCTGTTATCACAAGTATTATGCAATACTGGATGGCTTTATTCTTGCTGCCTCTAAGAATTTTAAAAGAGATAGAGAAGATGTGTAACCAGTTCTTGTGGGATGTGGGTAATCGAAGTTTGAGGAAGAAGGCACTGGTGGCCTGGCAGTTTGTTGCACTGCCAAAGAATGAAGGGGGTTTGGGGATAAGGGATTTTAAGAAATGGAACCAGGCATGTGTAGTTCGTCATATCTGGAATCTATTAGCTGCATCTGGTTCTCTTTGGGTTGCATGGGTGAAAAAATATCGCTTAAAGGCGAAGTCCATATGGGACATAGCAGAGCAGTCAGCAGGTACTTGGATTTGGAGGAAAATTCTGAAAAGCAGGGTGGGGGTAAGAGCCCATATCACTGGTAGTGATGAGACGCTTGCTTGGGATGGCAAGATCTTGCCAAGATATTCTGTTAAACTTGTCTGGAAGACTATCCGTACTTCTTAGGGCTTAGTTGATTGGCACAAGGCTATTTAGGGTAAACCATATAGTCCGAAGCATAGCTTGCTGCTTTGGCTTATGGTTCTAAATGGTATCACAACGAAGGATAAGCTGCAGAGTTGGGGGCTGACTGTTGATGTTTCATGTGGATTCTGTCCAGGAGGAATTGAGACGAGGGATCATTTGTTCTCAACTTGCTCGTACAGCAGGAGTGTTTTTTGTACTGTTTTGTCTCGATTTTGCAGGTTCCCAGTGTTCTGTTCATGGCAGGATCATCTGCACTGGGCAGTCAGGCAATGGACGAGCGATACTGGAGTTAAGAGTAAGGGAAGGTTGAGATGGTCACTGTGTGTTAGTTATGTGTGGCGTGAACGTTGTTGTCGTGCTCATGATGCTGTGATTTGTTCCCCAAGTAAGCTAGCTGGTCGAATTGAAGAGGAGGTGAAATGGATACTTGCTGCAAGGTCTCGCTGAATGATGTAATGAAAAATAGATAGATTTTTCTTTCTTTGAATAGATGAGTTGATTGTAATGGGCTTAAAGGTACTCGCTGGTCTTTTAAGAAGGGGGTTTATGCAGTTGCAAACCCCTAGTGCTTAATGAAATTTTTTATTAACCATAAAAAAAATTAGTTTTGTTAGCTTTTTAAACCATTCATGATATAATTTTGTATTTATAAGAATATCACTCTATATGTATCAAACAATTATTTATTATCTAGTTAGACATTTGCTTTTGAATGATTTTCTTTGTCAAGACCGTTTAGCATCAATAATTCGAGTTGTTGGGTTAGATTTAATAATTGATCTTATAGTACTTAGTATTTACTAATACTTTCTTGCTAACCAAAACCAACTTACACGTGCTTAAAATTTTTGCAAATCCAAAAATCATGTGCTAAACAAATTGGGCCGCCAAGATTCGGAACACATGATCTCTCGATCAACCATCTCAATTAGAAGTGCTCTAAATTTCATTATTAATTAACTATTTTACTAATTTGTTCATTTTCGTCCTTTAAAGCCACCCGTTACACTCTCCCTATCCTTAATTGAAATAAAATTAATTTTACAAACTAGCTATGATTTTGTGAAAATTTTTTGTAGATATTAAATACGTACATCTTTAATTTTGGGCGGATCATATGCACCATTGTCATTCGTACATAGCTCATTATAAAATATTGAATATGTCAATACACAACTTATAAATTATACATCAAATATTTCAAAGGTACTATTCTCATTTGAATACGTATTATTTTTTTTATACCAATTAACTACTATACCTGATATATCATTTTATTTCTCGAACCAGGGTGGGTCCTGGGACCCACCCACTAACCTTCTCCCTCCGCCCCTGGTCTTATGCTATTGTGAGTCGGGACGGGTAATACACGAGAGGGTATGGAACGGGGCGGGACGGGTCGATCCACTTTTACATGTTATATGAAAAAAACATGCGCAAAATTTTATCTTTTATCATCCGACAAAGGGGAAAATACTTTATGAAAAAAAAAGAGTGATAATAGAATGGGTAATTGAGTCTAACTAGTTGAAAAGATCAAGTTTAACTAATTGAGATAAAATGAGCCAGAAACGAGATGTGACGGAACAGAACAGATCGAAAGTAAATACTCGTATCCTGTCCCACACTACTGCGAGTCGAATAATACCTGCTTCATCATAGATCAAATCAAATAATACCTGACGAATCGTTCAAATTGTCATCTGCTCAACCACCACTAACTTGATTCCATGATCCTAGTTCCCAACAATAATAATTTTTAACCGGACCAAGTAACACGATTGTGGACTTGAGCTTAAAAGCTCTCGACTAACGAATATGATTAATTAATTACATGACTTAAAAACATAATAGCTTAGTTTGGCCCTGTTGTAGCTTTTGCAGAAGCAGCTTTTGGTTGGAGCTTTAGATAAATACTTTTAAAAAAAAGCAGTTGAGTGTTTGGCTGTAAAACTATTAGAAGTACTTTTTAATATAAGAGGTTGTGTAAAATGAATATAAAGGACTTATAATAGAAAATATGAATAAAAATTCTAAACAATAAAAAGTAGTCAAAATGGATCTTGTTAGATTTCTTTTATATTAAATAATATGATTTTATAATTTATTTTATTTTTAAAATGATGTAAATGATGAAAAATTATATTTTCTGAAATAGAATTAAAATATGGTAAAGATAATCTTGTATTTTCGCTTTTATATTATATAAAAGCACTTTTTGGTTTTTTAAAAACCGAGCTTTTAGAAGTGTTTGACCCTGCTTCAGCTTTTGAACTCGAAAAGCACTTCTAAAAGTCGGACAAAAAATGTAATGAATGAATATGAAACTGATCAAATTTGGATTTCTTTCTTTCTGACTTCGAAAATCTAAAGTCGTCTATCTTATTAACAACCCATTATATATATATATCAAACATCAAACAATACATATATGGAGGTTCTCCTCCAGCACCCCTTAATTCCATTTTTCCTGAACCCAGCGCAGACCACGGAGGGGTCTTTTGGTCGTTTCCTTTTTTATCTTATGGACCTAAGAGCACGGAAAGATTTAATTTATGTGGGCCTAAGAGAATGGCTACTTATCTACAGTTCTACACCTTTAAATGACCAATGGAAATCTAAATATAATAATTATGGTCCGGTTCAAATATAATTCACCATGCCCATGCAATTTACAGTATAGACACACGCCTAATTTTATTAGCCATTTAGTCCTTTAAACGAGACAATTGCAAAGTGCAGGTGCAAGAAAATTAATGTTTTTAAAATCCACCGGAAAAGTTAGTGATTCATACTTTAACGGTTAACTGTTATAGAAGCGTTGGTTAATACGTGATAGAACCGTTCATGTGCTATAATATAAAATACATATACAATATACTAACTTTAAGGATGAATTTATCACTACCTACAAAAAATTTCAAATCCATATCATCTATCACCAAAAAGTTATAACAAAGTATTTAAACTATGAATCATAATTTTTTTTATTAAATTCAAATCAATAATAAGAGCGACAATCCGTAATAAACCAGATAAATCCGACAAGGAGGCTAGGAAATGAAAACAAAAAAGCATAAATAAAATTAGGTGATTGATGTTGAATGGTTTTAGTTTATGTTTACGTACATTTCTTCTTGATTTTTTGTGGTTAAAATAGTGAAACAGTGGAATACTTAAACCAGGGTGGTTCATCTGGTTTCATGTCAAACCATGAAAAATGAAGCATAAAAATGGTATTACCTTGCAATTGCATTCCTGTTACACCTTCTGTAACTTTACAATTAAGTAGGCATTAATCTATGTTTCTTTAATCACACACTCACGCATCAAGATTGAGCTTATTACATATTTTGTGAGTTATTATGATATCCATTGTGAAACAAAAAAATTTGTTTCACTGTTGTTTTAATTAGAGGTTAGTCAAGATACAATCCAAGCTGGTATCCAATCTCACAACTTAATAGAGGAGATGGATTCTTTAATGTCAGGTTTCGATGAAGTGGCTGTCAATCAATCCCAAGATGAATATTATTTTTTGCCTCGATATGATAGTTATTGACTCAAAGCGTAAACTAACAACAACCACGCGAATTCAACTCTATGGTTCAAATTTGAAAATTTATTAATACTCATGCTTTTTTCTTGATGATAATGATATTTGGGTGCAAATTTTCAAAGGACAAATCAAGGACTTTCATCTCCTATTTTATTACCAGAGAGTTTACACTATCAAGACTTTGTGGTTAGCATGACAATGGGAGATTACAGGGCAATTCTAAACAATTTGGTCAATAAGTTTGAATCAAATATAGAAGCTGAAGCATGAAATGATATTCCAGCCATACCATCTTACAAATTTTATTGCATCTAATAAGATGAGAGTGACAAGAATGCAACCAAAGAAAATTTATTTTGGGTTCGAATTATTATTCTCAATTCAAATTTACTTCAATCTAATGTGTATACAGCCAAAAACATTAATTAACTTCTTAAAATTTTCATTCCATGTATGTTGTTGGCCTTCTTATTAAGTATTCGGGTTTATTGACATCTAACACTCACCGTAAAAATTAACAGCAAGGAGGCTCCAATTAAGTATGTAATTCTTTTATGGGCTAATACCATTGGGAAACCCGAACTATTAACTTTGTGCCATTTGTATCCTAAAGTATTCGATATGACATTTGTGTCCTAAACTATTTGTCCGTTAAAGTTGACTGGCGTTGACCGTTAGTTTTTAACAGAAAGTCTAGTCAATGCTGATGTGGCATCTGATGTGGAATTTTATTATTATTTTTTATTTATTTTTACATAAAATATGAATAAAGTAACAAAAGAAAGTTAAAAAGAAAAAAAAACTCATATCTATAGATCTGCATCTCTAGAGAGAAGACTATGGCAGCGGTCGCGGATTTCCCAGCCCGGAAACACCTCCAACGCCGGCAGCGGTCGCGGAGCTCTTTCTCATTTTCCCTACCCTCACCCCGCTCTTTCTCCCTCTCCCCTCATCCCACGATCCAGCTGTCGTCCGGATTGGGTTTCGCGTGAGGACGACGCAGGTGTTGTTAAAGCAGCCCGGGCGCGGGGGGAGGAGGCATGGACCCGGGCAGTCGGCTTTACCGACGGAGCAGGCGGCGGAGCCGCAGCGGGCTAGGCGGTAAGTGGAGGAGGAATTGGAGTAGCCGCTGTAGCAATCGAGCCAGAGCTGTCGGGCGGCGATGTCGACGATGAAGTTACGGGAGACTCGGGGCGTGCCGATTTCGAGGCGGGTGAGGATTTGGTTGGTGGCGCGGTCTTTGGTGAGCGGGAGGATTAGGGATCTGGGTTTGGATTGTGCAATGGTGGAGATAGTGAGGGTGGAAATTATGGGGGAGAGGAGGTGCAGGGATTGCGCCGTAGCCGGCGGGTGATTTCAGCGGCATTTGGTGAATAGGATTGGGTCTCGGAAGCGAAATCAGAAGAGAGACGGAATGAGGATTTCAAGTGGATTGAAAGAGCAAGTTGTGATTCAGGCAAAAATGAGGATGGATTGATGAGATTGAACCGGATTGAAAGAGGAAAGGGACAAGCAGAAAAGACAGATTTGCGGCGGCTATTCTATATGGGACGGAGGAAGCAGAATCGGCGGTGGGAGAAGGCGGCGGCGGGGAGTGTAGCGGCGGCGACCGGCAGTGATGGGATTTTTTTTATTTTAATTTTTTGAAACAATATTAATTAAGTTTACATTTTTTTCATTTTTATAGCAATATATTATTTTTTTAATTTTTTATTTAAAAATATGAGGTGTCATTGACGTGGCATCTACGTGGCTGCCACGTCAACAAAAGTCAATGTTAATGTTGACTTCTGTTTGGTCAACCGTTATATATAACGGTCAACAAAATCGCCAGGACATAAATGACACAAAACTATAATAGGTTGGGACACAAATGTCGTATCGAATACTTTAGGACACAAATGACACAAAGTTAATAGTTCGGGTTTCCCAGTGGTATTAGCCCTTCTTTTATTTTCAGTTTAAAATAATATGCATTACTTTAACTCTGATCGCAAATATACTATACAATTTGGGTGCAGAGGATTGGTTGTCAAGATGACTCTCTTAGATAGGATAGTTACCAAAAAGTATAAGTTTCTATTTTTGTTTATGTCATTGCTAACATTATACTTATTCAGGATCCACCTTCGAGTTGTGGACACAACCACTAAGGCTAACTTTGTTGTTATGATATATCAAGTGGGAGATGGATTTTTTGAAATGTCGATTGAAATACTATTCCAAGACAACGATAGAGTGAGAGGATTACCAGTTCATCTCCTACAAGTTGAGGGAATGACCTCCGAACCATATTGTACTAGCAACCCTCGAAAAAATCCAGGAAGCCGCTTACCATAGACTCATCCTACCAATCAAAATCTACTCCACATTTTTTGAAAAAAATCCCGACAAGAGTAAATAAAATTGTATATTCTTTTTCGACACCACATATTGTACTTTGATATCAAGCTCATATAATACATAACTAATCAACAAGTGAGTACACGATTTCTAGGATAACGAAGGATCAGAAGAGTAGAACTCAGACCGTCCTCCTGACTTGATTGGGATAAATTGTACTTGCATGAAAATGATAATCAATATTAATTAAAAATTATGATATTCACTATTGGATTTGGAGTATATTCGGAACATGCACCTCTGATTATTATTTAACTAAACAGCTAACCATGTCTACTTCTCACGTGTTGGTTTTGTGATGCACTTAATTGCATTTATCATCCAGTAAATAAATTGCTATCAGCGGTATACCATGTGTAAATTATACTTAGTTATATAATCAAGTATATAGCTCTTCAATGTTTATATCATGTACCGAGTAGTTGTATTGTATAACTTAAAACTCGAGAGGAACTTTCATTTATTACCCACTAGCATGCATGCAATTGTATACTTGGTTGTATTATCAAGTACTGTATATGTCTTCAATTTTTATACCATGCACAAATATATGCCTCCAATTTTTAAACGTGCACAAATGACATTTGGTTGTATTCTTAAATCTATAGGCAAATGTAGGTCGTTTATAACATAAAGCTCCAGTGGAACTTTGCTTCCTTTGACACTAACATGCAAGCAATTTTATCCAGCTACAAGTTTTACTCCAATATATTTTAAATACCTATGATTCTAGAAAATTACACCATATGTTGTGCTTTTGAATGTAGATGATCTTAATTCATAATACTAATGCAAGAGAACAAGAATGAGACCGTTAATGGTGGATGTATTAGATCCGGTGCTAGAGATGACGATGATCTTGAGAAGAAGAAAGACATTGTTCGTGAGAAAGATACAAGTACCAATGATGAGGAAAAAGAACGAATCCTTAATATTGTTCACAATTTGGACGAGGTAAATTCTACTCCAATGAAAAAGATGATTGGTATTTGTAAATAGTTTCCATCAAATTTTTGTGCTCATTCAAAAGCAAGAAAACAAGGAAGAGAATATTGAAATGGAAGAGAAGAAAGAAGAGGAAATTGATAATGGAGATGGAGACAAAATAATTGGTGCAGATGATGATGCTACTCATGACGGTGGAAGTGCAAACAAGTCAAAAAGTAAACGTGGAGTAATCTTTAATGACGAGGAGAAAATAAAAGGGTGATTTTAAAATGTCTTTAGGAGTCGGTTCGGGTTTGTCTTTCATTTTCGTGACAGGATTTAGTCGATGAGTCAGTTTTAATGTTGAAAAACACTATGATATTGATCATTTTGAATTGTTGAAATACTTTAATAATTTGGATCCTCTTAAACTAATCAATTTGGATGTTTCGAGTATTGGAATAATTTATATTTTCTTATACTATCAATACCCACGTATCTAACATACAATTTGATAATGTTGTTTACATAATTGGCAACGGAATCCGGCCAACTGGCCGGGCCCGCAACTAGTGTATATATATATGAATGGATTCATGTGTATAAATAACAATAATTAATCTATTTACGGATAATTGTGTTGAGTTGAATAGAAATTTAACCGTCCTTCCCATCCAACTCTATATGCAGCTGTACCACATCGTTTAGAAGAAGAAAACTTGGTGAAATCAATTTACAAGTGTCGCACAGCTACACCAACAACCTTCTAGACGAAGTGATTAGGCCCATCATGGGTCCAGGAAAGTCCCCGGGCCCTTATCTGCAGAGATGCAGCCCTGGAAACCATGAGCCCTTCGGGCCTGTCGGATTAGGGCTGAGACGTGTGTGGAGCCCAGTGACTCTTATGGCCCGAAGAAATTGGCCGTGAGCAACAGTTATTCACTTGGCTCAAACTGAGCTAACTGAACGGGGCTTACGATCTAGAGGTGTACCTTTATTTTTTGTATTGGTTTGTCATTTTAGGCCATCTTTTCAAAAGCCCGATGTGGGAGTCGTCATAACCAGGCCCCAAATATCATTAAAGTCCACGACATCCACGTGGAGTTTTTGCCACCTGTCCGAAATCCCCGCCATGTCATCTCCAATCCCAGCCGTCCATCTAAAGATCAACGGCTGAAAATCACCCGATGACGACGAAACTCAGTATCCCATTCTCGCTCCGCCGACGGCCACTATCAGGCCCGAAAACCCGACCCGGACTTTGCATAAGGTATACTACTTCCTTCTCGTTGTCGGACTGTTTCTATCTGTCCCCTTTCATCCTTCCCCCAATTAATAATCTCACCCCCGGGTTACAGTTTCCTCCATCGCTCGATTCCATCTCGTTCTCCTGCGTCTCTCCCTAGGTTTTCCTCATTACAGTTCTGTTGACGAAAGCGCTGGACTCTCCCCTTCACCAGCTGGGTTGAATTGAGAGACCGCGCCATGTTTCTGATCGATTGGTTCTATGGAGTTCTGGCTTCCCTTGGACTGTGGCAGAAGGAAGCGAAGATCTTGTTCCTGGGTCTCGATAATGCCGGGAAGACAACTCTGCTTCACATGTTGAAAGATGAGGTATTGTATTCCTTACCGAGCTTCGTAATTGTTCCTGTCCTGCTGCCGAGATATTTCAATTGAACGAGGAAGGGGTGAATTTTAACGAATATGATCAATTTAGGTTCTCGATATTGTAGCTGAATGTGTATTTTTACTATGGGAATTTCAAAGTTTTGATAGGGTTGTATTATGAATCCTGTTTTGGTGAATTTTGGGCAGAGGCTCGTTCAGCACCAGCCGACCCAGTACCCGACTTCTGAAGAGCTGAGCATTGGGAAAATCAAGTTCAAAGCTTTCGATTTGGGTGGGCATCAGATTGCTCGTCGAGTCTGGAAAGACTACTATACTCAGGTTTCCCCTCTTTTCTCTGTCCAATTCAGCTTAATGAAAAGGAATGATGGGTTCTTGGATTATAGACTTATCAGTTCACACCACTAGTGTGTTGTTTGCTGTATTGGAATTCTTCTCGTTGCATGTTCTCCTACATTGGTGGTTGTACTTAAAACGTTTGTGCTTGTTTGATATGCTTCCCGCACTAGTTTAGCTTTCTGATCATCTGATTCTCGAGAGGTAAGTAAACAAGGATCAGGCGACTAATTTCTTCAGATGAGGCGCATAATTTCTTAGGATGAGGCATCTAACAAGTACCAAGAATTAGGCGTGTTGATCCTCTGATACATGAGAGGTGAGTAAACAAGAATTAGGCGCCTAATTCTTGTGATGAGGTGCCTAATTTCTTTGGATGAGGCACCTAACTAGTAACAATGATTGGGCGTTTTGATCATATGATACTTGAGAGGTGAGTATACAGGAATTAGGTGTGTAGTTTATCGGCGTAATTTGTAAAAGTCGTTGGTATTTTCTAACTGCGTATTTGTATGAGTCACACAACCAGAAGCAGGAAATCGCTGATTTCTAACAGCGTGTTGTATTTTGAAGCTTGAATAATGTAACGAGTATCGCTATTATTTAAGTATGGAGATAAATAACAATCATACATAACCCCAGTTATATATGTCTGCACATCATTATTCTAATCTCAATTCTCTCCTCATATGAAGGTGGATGCGGTGGTGTACTTGGTAGATGCATTCGACAAGGAAAGATTTGCCGAGTCCAAAAAGGAGCTCGATGCGCTCCTCTCAGATGAGTCACTGGCCACCGTCCCATTCCTGATACTCGGGAACAAGATCGACTTACCATATGCTGCCTCCGAAGACGAGCTTCGTTACCACATGGGGCTCACCAACTTCACAACAGGGAAAGGGAAAGTCAACTTGGGTGACACGAACGTCCGCCCACTCGAGGTGTTCATGTGCAGCATTGTCCGGAAAATGGGGTACGGAGAAGGCTTCAGGTGGATGTCTCAGTACATCAAGTAGGGT